AGTTTTTTGCCTTTTTTTTTTTGAAGAGCTCAAACTTTCACAGGTCTTTAAGGTAGGCCTACAGTATAGATACTATTCAAATACCAAAATTCAGTTGATACATTGTTAGAAACTGAACAAAATTCACTTGTATTTTCAGATTCAGATACTACTTTCTATATCCCACACTTCCCTCATCATATCACATTACAATACTTTTAAAATGACAAGTTACTACAAAAAGCTCAAAATATTTCATGGAGTTGCTGATCATGAATTTGACATACAGATCAAGTCAACTAGGTAAAATTACTGACACAAATTATTATTAAAAAAATATTTTATGAATCTAGGAAACTAGTTTCTTCATTCTTTGAGTTCAAGAGGGGCTCAAAACAGCTTTAAGGAATTCTGACCAAATAATTTCTGCATCAAGAAATAAAACAGCCTCCCCCAGTCTGCCAAGGCACAACAAGAGAAATAAAACAATATAACTGTTTCATCTCACACACTTGCTTTGCCAGCTGTAGTTCTTCTTGAAGGGCTCTCACTGTGCCTTCATCTGCAGGAATATCAGTTTCAGGATGCACAAAAGGAAGAGCCTCCAGTTGCTTCTCAAGAGGCTCTTTCAACTCTGCATGCAGCCTAAAATTCAAAGCAAGGTATTTCTTTAAAAGGGATTTTTTAAACAACTGAAATATACTGTGCCTTCCACCTGTACATACTACTTCCCTCCAAGTAAAATTTAAATCTATTCAGTTATGTTCTATAAACAAAATTTACAGTTTGAGATAGTGTCACATCCAGTTCTTTAGTGACATGGTAAAATCTTTACCTGGTGCTGTAATCTGTATTAAGCACTTCAAGACTCTAACATTATGATCCTGAGTTTACTTAGTAGAAGATTTCAAGGTCCAGGAAAAAGAAGCTTTTTAATGTTTAAGAAATCATGAGAAACAGTAGTAGCAACATGGCAGTGCAATCATTTACCTTTCATTTTCCTTGGTGACTTCTTCCAATTTTAGCTTCATCTCACCCATTTGTACCTGACAGAAAGACATGCAAGAGTCAGCACTCATTTAATTTACATAAACTCTGGTAACACTGTCAATCCTGTATTTCTGACTGACACTGCAAAAGATGGACAACTGTATCCAGCATAATACAGTAAATGAAAGTCAATTGCTTTTTTAAGGCAAGTCACAGGATGCCACTTGAATTTAATAGCTGCCAAGTCCTGTTACACCTCAGCATTTGCAAGTTATTATGGACATTAAAATTAACCTTTTGAAATTCCTATGGCCCTTACAGATTGATTTTTAATTAACTCACATTTTTAGGGATAGAGTGGATAACTCATCTTTTATACTGCACGTATTTGATGAAGGTTTAGCAATTAACTGAGGAGAAACTCCAGTTATATGAACCAAACTGGCTGTTTTTGTTCACTAGTGCAAGGAAGCCATAGTGCTTCTGTTGCCTCTTGAAATTGATCAAGCTGCAAGACTATTTGCAAAATCTTTATGATGGACAGATCAAACCAATTAAGTGCATTAAACCAAAAGCAGTGTATAACTTCTACATGAAGATCACAAGCAAAAATTGCTTTCTGTATGCCATAAGTTTTAATATCGTTTATGTTTCCAGTCGTGAAAGGAAGATGGAACCCTTCCAACTCAACCCCCAGGATTACACTGTTGCAATTTGGACAATCTCCCAACCTTTTCACAGAAGCTCTCCATTCATCCCCTTGAGGCAGCCTGCAGTCCAGCAGCTTTGTGAAGCATGACAAAAACTAGTGCCCTACATATTCACACCCCTAAAAGAAAATCCAGTCTGAAATGTAGGGGATGCCCATACCTGATAAAGCTGCAGCTGTTCTCTCATTTTCTCCACCTGTTTTCCATACTCTGTGACTAGAGCTGACAAGCTAAGAAGTTGAAAAACACTATCAGAATGAGTTTCATAAATGCTGAAATGCTCTGATAATTAAGTAGTTTTAAAGAATTCTTAATCTAGAGGCCAGAACAGAGCAGTCACTTTTCTTGAGTTCCAAGCTCAACATTCCCCAGAATCAAATGAACAAATTTAATCACTACTTTTAAATAATGATCGTTAACAGCAAGGGTGCTACATAACAGAAACAGAACATATAATGGGAAATAATAAATGACCATAAATACAATATTAATATTTCATTGATTCACACACAATCCCAAATATTAAAATACTAGACTTCATTGCTGCTGTCACATACAATAGTAAAGTGGCCTAAAAGTCAATGCAGAACACTGTAGTTCTACTTCTATATATTCTCTCTCCTAATATTTTCACAACTGCTAGCAATTCCCTGAAAATTCTATATTAAAAGCTAACAAGAAAAGCCAGGTTATTTTTGTAAAAGAAAATTACAGTGATCATGAAGCCATTTACTGATAGACAACTGTTAGCTGAAGAGTGTCAAAAAACACTTTTAAAAACATCTCCCAATCTCAACAGACAGCAGGTACCTGTGTTACCTAGATCAGTGCAATCTTACCAGAACTTTTGTTTATTCTCTCAGAACTTAGACTAGACAATTCCTTCATTCATCTCTCATCCTTTATTTTATAGCTTGTGGCAGCAAAGTCAGTAATTTAATTTACTGAATAAACACAGTACCACCTAACAGCTATACAGACACACAAATACAAGACCCAGTTCACCTGGATATTTACACTCCTGTGAGCACATGACAATTTCCTTCAAATACACTGTAGCATTCCCACTTATCACTTGGGATCAGTTACCTTTGGTCCATCATCCTGGATCCTGATGTGCCATCACCACCAAGGGCATATTCCTGTAATGGAATAATAATTTAATCATTAGTAATTGCACATAAATGTATGTAGTTTTAAACTTTTACATGAGACCAAAAACTGTCTGTACTGTAATCTGTACACAAAATGCCACAGAATCACTTTCAGATTTATGTTCAAAAACCCTTGAGTGCTGGCTCAATATGAAAAAATAATGATTTTTTTTTTCCTAGTCATGCTCTGATCTAAAGCATAAATACATCTGAGGGAAACTTAACTCCATCTTAAAAGAACAATCACAGGTTTGTGTAAGTGCTTGGTTCATTTCCATGCATCGCAGCGTCAAGAAAACACTGAAGCCCTAGCTTCTGCACAAGCTTTCAGACAGGCTTATGGTACCCAGTACAGAAAGCTACCTCAACACGAGACTAATCTTTTAGAAAAGTGAAAAAGTGTTTGAATTACAAATCAAGTGCTCTTTCAGGGATAAAACTCTCAGAAATTCACTAAAAATATCATAATTCACTGTTAGGGCAGTTTTTTTCTGCTGTTGCTGCATTGTATGATGGACTCAAAAAAGGGCCAGACAACGCTGAAGTGAGCTGTGCTCCATGTTTGGAAAGTTGTTTATCACAAACATAATAAAAAAAAAAGTTTTCTACTCCCATGTCCGAGTTCACATACCTGCTCAGCAGTAATTCTCAGAACCTCACTGGTTTCAGAGTGTCCAAGTGCCATTTTTAACCTCTGATCTGAAAAAGAACATGTGTGAGAATCATGGCTATAACACAGGCCTCTATCTACGTAAACGGGACTGGCAGTCAGAAATATGTTTAACAACATAATGCTTCAAGGGAAAAGAAAAAAAAAAGCTTCTGAAATTCTTATATTTAGCACAACTGTTTAAAAAAAACTCAGGACTTGAAATGTTGATTTCACATTTATGAAGGAAGAGAAACATTAATTCATGTATCGGGTCCAGAGTAGGCCTAAAACAACTTGCGGCTCAGCTGGCATAGAAGTCAATTGCAAATCTTGTCCTGTGAAAATGTATAAATATTTGTTTTAAAAAAAGGATTAAACTCTTTGATAGGAAAGGGAAATCACCATTTCACAGTGAATTTAGTCTGAGTTCTACTTAGATTCTAAAGACTTACAAAATAAGCTACAGCTAAAAGAAATACATACGAGAAGGCAGCATTCCAATATTTTCAAGCCACGGAATAATAAATACTCTTGCAAAGTGCAAGAAATATACAGATTTTTGAACCAGAATGATTGTGTTATCTCAGACAGAAGCTTTTCTGCTACTGAAATCCTTGGAATCAGAAGTTTTTTTTCAGTTTTGCCACCACACGGAACTTCGTACCCAGTGAAATTCGGAGGTCTGAGTGATGGAGCTGCTCCTGCTGCCAGGTTTTCCTGCAGCGCTAACCGGGGACAGCGACATTCCCGGGACAACGCGCCTGCCCCATCTCCAACTCCCAGGAACATAAACTCAGCAGAAGCAAATCTGTTCGGCCAGTTATGTTGTTGGTAACTGAGACAGACTCCAATTAAGTAATGTTAAGTTATATTAAATCCATCAAGGAACACAAAATTAAAAATACCGGTTTTGGTCCGTAAAGCAAATTTAATTAATGACTGGAAAGAGAGCTTTCTAAAGCGTAGGAAACGCCGTGGTTTCATAACTAAAAAGCCGTTCATACAAAAACGCATGAGTTTTTTGCCATCACCCTCATTAGCAGCTTTCAATTCCTGGTGTTTAGCTAGCTGAAAGCGCCACCCGTGCTGTTCCTCGCAGGGAAACCTACGGAACACAAACCTTCACCGCCACCCAATTTAAACCCCCACCGCCAACACCCACCTGGCCGTGCCTCGCTCCCAGCCTTCCCCACGCAAAACACCACGAAGCCCCGGGGGGAAAAGCCGCTTGTCCGGCCGGAGGGGAGGGAAGGAAAGCCGGAGTCGCACCGGAGCAGGGAGGGCGGCAGGACCCGCCAGGGCGGGACGCGCTCCCCTCAGCCGCCGGTGCCCCGGGGCGGGGGCAGCGGGGAGAGCCGCCCCTCCGCTCCGCTCCTCCGCTTGGCAAGGAGGCAGCCCCGGTGCCCGCGGAGCCACGGCCGCCGCAGGGCCCCGCTGAGCAGCCTCACAACCGCCGAGGGCCCGGGCGGGCCCGGCCCGGCCGCCAGCGCCGCCCCCGTCACGTGGGGAGCGGCCATGGCGCGGCGCTGAGGCGGCGCTGGGAGAGATTGCCTCGCTAAACTTTGCTGCGGGTTGTGGGTTAGGGGTAGGCGCTTAAAGTTCCCTTCGGGAAAACAGTCGGGTTGCGGCCGGAGCAGCGGAGCGAGGAACCCGGTGCGGAGCGCTCCGGGAGGGGCTGCCCGTCGGAGGCTGTGGGCAGGCGGGGACCGGGCGCTTCTGCCGGGGAGGCGGCGGCAGCGGGAGAGGACACAGCCCGGAACTGCATCTGGGGAGGGACAGCTTGGACTTCAGGAGTAATTTCTTTATACAAAGGGTGATTCGGCTTTGGAACGAGCTGCCCGCCGTCCCTGGAGGTGTTTAAGGAAAGGCTGATCTGCAATGACTGCAAACGAAACTAGCTAGTTGCTTCATTTTCTTATGTCTCAAGCATTAAAAGGTTTCCCCTCAGTCTGTTTTTCTGATGTTACCAAATCCTCTAAATTCATGTAGTGGAGACTGTTTTGTTTATCTGTCCTCTTGATAAATGTTTCTGGTGGTTTGGGAAGGTATTTTTTTAGATGTACGTGTGAAAAGCCTTAAGCTAATTAAGGCTTCAGAGACATTCGTAACCCTACGGGTATAAAAACTATGAGAAGCAGCATTTATGTAACTGTTTAGTTAGGTTTTTGTTACAAACCTAGTTTGTTTCAGTTCTGATGTCTATAAACGTGATTTGGTAATTGACTTTGTATCAAAGTGTGTGTTTATTTTTTTTTCCCCTGCGCAACCAAACGACAATTCATGCAGAGCTGGAATCTGAGATCTTCTTTGATAGAACTTTCCTTTTTCTTATGTAGTGCCTGAAGATGGAATTTCGAATTGAACACACCTGGGATGGTTTGCCTGTAAGCCACGAGCCCGTTGCAATTGGGCTGAGGCCGAATAATGCAGGACTGCTGATGGAAGTTCGAGCTCCTTTCTTCAATGACCCTCCAGCACCTCCCGGAGAGCCAGGGAAACCTTTTGGTGGGCTGTGGGACTATGAGGGTAAGTGTAACTCTTCCGCAGATGTATCTGTTTTCTGTAGACACTGATGTTCCTCTGTATTTGATATGCTTGGTCTTTTTTTAAAGAAACTTTTAAATCTGTGATAGTTGGGGTTTTTTTTCAAAAAAAATCCCAAAACTGGAGTTCAGTGGTCTGTGTTGATTTCAATAATTTTGAAGTTGACTTCCTGATCCTGTCAATAGTATATGCATTCAAACTTAGGTTTTGGGTTACTGGTGCAACTTGTGAACTATCAGAGGCTTTACATATTTGAGTAGCAAAATAATTTTGTGGCTTTTATATATTTAAATGCCCTTGTGGAAGGAGAAGTGAAATCATAAAGACTCATTTCAGTTTTGCTTTAAGAAATTGTGTGTTTTAGTCATTTTTCCAAAGTTCCTTTGAGGAGTAGGAAGGTGTGAAACACAGAAATTACACCTCATGAAGTGCAGTTCAAAACTGTAACCAAACTAAATGGGCAAAACTCTCCTAGTAGTGCTGGGTATTTTCTCCTTTCCTGTCCGTACTGTCACTTTTACCTGTTGCTTTGAGTAATGCAAGAATTGAATGTTTCTAGCAGTTCCTTATTTCCTGATTATTGAGCTATTCTGATTCAAGTTCTACTAAAATGGTATTAGCACCTCTTTGGTGTTACTATAATAAATATGCTTAAGTAAAAGTAAATAAAGGTATTAATCACATCATAATTCTAGCTGAAGTTTTCTAATAGTGTCATTGCTGTGAGAAGCACTGTTGTAATTTTACATGAGAAACACCATTGTAGTTCAACTTTCTGTTCCTGAAATGTGATTCAAATGTCATATGCAGCTTTCAAGAGACCTGGAACAGTAATCCCCTGTCCAAAATATCCCTCTGCAGGGAAAAATCATTTAAGAGCTAAGTGCCTTTTTATGATTTCTGAGATTTAGCAGTTTTACTTATGGGGTGTGCCCCCTCATCTAAATGTGTGATCCTCTTTCCCTTATTTTCCTGCTGCATCAGGGTGAGTGTTTTCAAAACTGGAATTGGCAAAGCTAATAAAGTCAGTACAGTACTTTATAAAGCTTTTTGTGATCACAGCAATTAAAATAAGAGCTCCTGAAGTCGGAATTGTGGCACAGCATTTTGAATATTTGGGCTGTAGTTACTGTGTTCATGTCAGTAGCAAGTCAGGCTCTGGCATAGCACAGGTCAAAACATGTGAAAATTGAGTTGTATTAATGGGATATGAAGATCTCAGGATATTACAGAATAGTTAATATAAAATACTGACAGCTTGTTTTGGTGGGGGTTTTTTTGTTTTAATTTTTTTGTTTGGTTTGGTTTTTCCAGTTGTAGAAGCATTCTTTCTGAGTGACAGAACTGAGCAGTATTTGGAAGTTGAGCTTTGTCCGTAAGTACAGCACTGAACAAGTCCCAAAAGTTAATTTATTCTTGCAGTTGTAATGCTGCATGTTGGACGCATGTATGAGGGGGACTAGACACAGAAACTGGGTCAGTGTGGGGAATGTACATATTTGTGGTGGTATAATGCACTAATAACTTGACATAATTTTAGGAGAACTGTGCTCTGATTCTTTGACAGCCATGGGCAGTACTTGCTGCTGCTGCTTTCTGGCAGAAGAAGAGCATGGAAAGTAAGTGCTCAAGTACATTCATAATGATTTTTATGTACCTCTTTCTGATCAAAAGATGGCCAATACCTCTTATTTAAAATTTTTCCCCCTCCTTTAACAGGAAGAGCTTCCTTTGGAATTTGAGGTGACCAGAAGGAAAACCGAATGGGAGGGTAAAGCTCTTCTTCCTTGGAGTTATTTTCCACCATGCACTGGCAAGTTCAATGCCTTTGCAATTCATGGCTCGGGAGACGAGAGAAAATATGAAGCACTTTATCCTGTGCCTCCACACCAGCTGCAGGAAGGACAGGAACCAGATTTGTAAGCATAAAATGAGCTCTTCTGTGAAATGGTTGCACTATTGTTGGAATACTTTAAAAAGCTGATATGGTTTTTGGATTGAGTGCCCCTAGTATTTTTGTTACAGGACTTAGCTCTGGGTCCACTGGTGCTGTACTTGTGTAAAGCACTGTGGCACTGTAATTAGTGCTAGGTGCATGCTAGGTGCATAGAAAATTACATATACAGTATTACACATTGGTATCTGCTTTTATCATCTTCCTCATCTAAATCATGGGTGGGTTGTTCTACTTTTCCTTCTTGACTTCAGCTCCTCCTGAAGTGCCATTTAATGATAATTTCACCAGGTACGTTTCCAGTAAATCTCTTCTGCTCCTCCCATACTGTTCTAAAAGCTTTCACCTCTACAGATGGTTCCATGCTGTGGAAAAAATTGAAAAGGCAGACTAAATTAAAAAAATAAAATTAAAGGATACCCTGTATCCATAGAAAAACCAGCAAATTTGGATTTTTAAATTGTGCTTCGGGCCTGTTTATTTTCTTCCTTGCCTGTGAGGCTGAGATGATCTGGTAAAACCTGTTACTCTTGGGCATTTTGTATAAATGACCCAGCTCTGGAAGCCATACTATAGCTCTTAAAAAACTTGTCACACAACATACAGTGATGGTGAGGTAGGGTAAATTTTGGGTAAATTACCCTTTATTTAAGAAAAATTTAGCTTTTGCAACTGTATATTAAAAAAAAAATCAGAGCTATTTCTAATAAAACACATCAGTATTCTGTGACAAAGGGAAATTTTTATTTTATTCTTATTTATTGTATTGCACTGGAGAATGGCTGTCTTACCTTTCAAGAAGGTATTTATAATTCTTTCTATAGTACACCTTCCAAAAAAAATCTTGTCTTTTTCAGATGTTGGTAGCAGATGAAATTATGTGAAGAATCTGTTCCTTGCTGATTTCGTTACTCTGTTTGTCTTTGCTCTTACACATTACTGCAAAAGTTAGGACTTTGCTTATTTCTCTTTTGTTTGTAGTCATCGTTTGGAATTTTTCAAAGACTTGAACCTGAAAGAACTAACAGGAGAAGACTGGAAGCAGCCTGAATCAGATATATGGAAATGTCTCACCAAGTGAATGGATTGAAGCATAAATTTTTATAATGTTGAAGTTGGCTGGAGCTGTGTGGAAACAACTTCCTCATTCTGAGCAGAGGTTGTAGATAACAGATTAGCAAGGCTTTCCTTGGCACCAAAATTATGTATCAGTCCGAAAATCAACTGCAAAGCACGTGGATCTGTTGATTCTAAATGTATGAATGGCTTGGAGTTTTTCATCTGTGCAACAGATGAATTTTCTCCTATCAATGAAGGAAGAATGTGCTGAAATTGCAGCTGTGCTTTTGTGAGAGCTCTGAAGTGACAAGGCCAATACCTGGATTGAATCTTTTGGTTTCCTATAGTTGCTGCATTTCTGCTGTGTTTTCACTGCTGCTCATTTGTTTGTTGATTGCTGAAGGAGATCCTTATATGCCTAGATTTTTTGCTTACAATCAGGAGGAAGAATGTAGCTATCATGGATTTTGGAGGCTTAGTACTTGCCCTGCAAGAAGCATAACGCTGCTCTTTCCTGTATGTTCCTGTGCCTGAAGTTTTCCCTTGCTTAATGCCAAAGGGGGAACTTAATCTATCTCACAGACCTCTCTGTGGAGTTCCTAATGGTGTTTAGGTGCAGAGGATAGATTTACAAAAGGTTTTTTCTATTTCAGATGAAGTTTCTGGGACAAATAATGCTTAGTGAAATCTTTTGATATAGTTATGTGTATGCAAAAGTGGGTTTTTTTCCTAAGACTTGTCACATCACTTTAAGAATTCATCTCAGATGTCTGAGAATTTTTTTTGCATGCCACTGAGGGCTGGAGATACTCCAGGTGTATATTTTCTGTGTATGGGCATGAGTAATTTTAACAATAGTGAACGTTGTTAGGTGCCAACATCTAATCTGTAAACCCTCACAAGATTTACAAATCATGTGTTCCTTTTTTTTGTCTAGCATAGCAGTTGCTGCTTGACTGTGGCTGCTGATTTAATCTTATATAAGTTATCTTAAAAAATGTGAAGCTTGCTCAGTATGCAGTAACAAACACATTCTGATGGTCCTATTTTCTTTGCTGTCTTTCAGCTTCATTCTAGCTGTAAGTTCTGCCTGAGAAGCAAAGAGGGTGGGAATATCCCACCTTTGTGAAGAGCATCTCAGTCTGGTTAATATCTGAGATAGCATGTTAGTTCACAGTTTTTGCTAAGCTTTAGATTCCCTCTTTGTACCTCCAGTTTTATAGAACTGTGCTTTCAAATTTGAAGATACTGGTTTTTTTTTCCCCTGTGGCAGACTTTGGCATGTCAGTGCACTCAGCTATCCAACTGCTTTTGCTCTGTTTCAATTAGACAATATAGGTTCCTTGCTGTAAAGTGGCATCTGTTGAAAATTGTAAGTATTGTACCGCCAGTTGTTTGGCTTCTTTTCTACCTTCTATCTATGTACAGTTTTCTAAAGAATTACATCAGTCTGAAATACTGAATACCTCAATAAATGCTGATAAAAGTATCATCTAGACATTGACATCTCAAAGCTTCTTAAAAAATTTTAGTCAAAACCAAAATGCTATTGTGCAAAACTTTTGGACTTTATTTTAAAAAGTTTGTCAAAAAAATATGTGCAAAGATTAAAAATAGGTGTACTGCTTTTCTCACAAAGGTTGTTTTCATCTGAGGAATGATACTTTGTATGTAAAGACAGTAAATAAAAATTTTTATTTATCTCTTGTTTATTCCTACTTCAAACTGACTGATTTGGATTTGACTTTGGATGTAAATGATGAACTTGGAGGGAAATAGATTATTTTTCCCAAATAAGTAATTTAAATTAAAAACATTGTCTAGGTGCTCCAGGAAATTGAAATTATTTTTGCACTCCCAGAGACCTTGTTCTTTTTGCTTCTTGCCACTAGGTGGGAGAAGAAGGTTGTCTAAACTGTGCCTTGGTGCTGCCAGCCTGTTATCCTTAACCAGATCCATTCCTTCGTCCTGTATCATTGATTTTAGAAAAGGATATTTCAGTCAAGCTGATGGTGGCTTATTTTGGTTTATTTGAGACATCTTTGTCGTAAGAAACAGCTGTCATGCTGGGCAGTTACAGTTGTAATGTTTGCTTTCCTGGAAGGCTATTTTCAGAAATAATTTTTGAAATAAAACCAACAGAAGATAAATTCCATGAGGTGTCAGTCAATCTGTAGTGTAAAAGTAGTTTTGTGGTGTTCAAATTACTTCAGTGTTATTCTGGATTAATTTTTTTGCAAATGTCTTGGATAGTCTCTGGCAGACTTTCCAAAAAGGCTGTTTTGAATTCTGAAGGAATTTATTTCTTTTAATACAGGCTGATTTGTGAGAGGTGGTTCACCCCTTCAAGGTGGTTAGAACAACCTGCAGTGAAACAACGTGAAAACTGGTTTGAGGGGGACAGAAAATTCTTTGTCTCAATACAAAAATGAAAAAAAAAAATGTAAAGAAAACTTGAATGGTAGCGTGTGCTACTGGTAGAAGTCATTTGTACCTTAAATACAAAGCTGGAGCAACTTAGGCTTTCAGGTAACACCTCATATTTCTTGTAGTGGTCCTGCGCATTGGGGCTTTTTTTGGATGCAAAAGCTCTTAACAGGAGTAAAATTTTGCTTATGTCTTTGTATACTTTTAAATATTTTTTCTGGTATGCCAGGTCAGATATTAGAGCTAGGAAGCTCAAATTTAATTCAGGACTATATACATTTTGACTGTTATGGCTGATACAGCTACTGCATTATCTGTTCTAGTTACTAGATACATAAGTGAGTTAATATTTGTACTGCCCAGTACCATTGATGATAAGTTAATGCTGAATGTGATGTTGAGTACTATACTGCTTGCAGTTCCTTTTTTCAAGGCTGTTTTGTGCCTCTGAGAGGCACAACACAAAACGTTTTGTTGTGTTTTAAATTCTGACCATGTAAAAATCCTTTCGAAATGTGAATGGCACAGTGCATAATTTGCTGCATGTAAAATTTAAAAGTATTCTTCCCTGGTACTAGGGCAATCTCTAAAGTGGAATTCATTGCATTTAATTATGGTACATTTAGAATAATGGTGCTGAAATTTGATAGTTAACCTGCATTTATTTAGTTGGTGATTCCCTTCTTTTTTCTTTTATTGAGTGCTTTAGTTTGCTGCAGTGTCTCTGAGCAGTGCTTCAGCAAAAGTACAGGGAAGTGTGTTAAGCCTGATTTATTTGCACAGGTTGTATAAACAGCTGTGTATAAACATATAAACAGCCTCAGTGAGATCAATACAACACTCATCATAAACTGTTAGGCCTTTTTCCATCTCCTTGTCTGTCTGTTGAAATTGGTATTGTCAGGAGAATTCTGTTCTGTCCAAGCTTGTTTTCATTATTCTGTTTCTAAACAAGTAAAAGCCTTGGCTGCAGGGGGTCTTTGGGAGGCTTTCCAGGGATGGATCAGGAGGCACTGTTTGTATCTGTGCTGGCTATGAACATACCAAAATATTTTCCTGTTTCATTTTCAGAAATTATTCTGTAGACTCTCATGAAGTATGTGTGTAAATACTGTCTGCCAGTTATGTAGTGTATTTGCAAATACAAATGTATTTTTAAATGTAGTAGACCAGAACTGACTAAATCGTGTTAAAATAGCTGAAGTAAACATTACTGAAGTAAAACTAAATTACTGTGTCCTCACTGTTGTTTTAAAACCAGCCTAGCCAGACTAGTCCAGTGGCTTTCTTGGACTGTGGTACAGATTCTTGTCAGGGAAAAAGAAAGTAGTTTTCAGATGTTACCTTTTTATAATACAGAAATTCCCTCTGTAGAGCACATTTGTTGCCAATTTAATCTCGCCTTTCATTTCGTGAGTTATTTCTCTTGAACTCAGTCTCTGCAGGCAGTGAAATTTATATCTTGGTGCCACTAGTAGCTGTGATAAAATTATTCTTCTCTAATTCTAGGCAATGTAATTGGTTCACTTCTTACTGCTCAGTTTGCTTCCTTCTGCAAATGAAAGTGTTTGGAAACTGGTACTTTCTCAGTGCTTTATAGCTTATACAAGCCATGGCATTTATATTTGATCATGTCTGGCACTTTAAAGAACTGGTTCTTGTTTTAAAATTGCATGTTAGTTTCCTAAATGTTAACAGAGTGGGCTGTAACCTCTTATGCCAAGTATCTGCTTTAAACCTTTTTAATTTCAGCAAAATATTTAATGGTTTCAAAGGAAGGGTAGTTCATGATGTCAGAAGACAGAACTGTGGTCTTGTACTTCCTTAAATTCCTGTGACTTCTAGAACGAAATGTTGAGACTTGGTGAGAAGTCCATATTGTCAATTTTTGTGATTTCTGTGTAACAGCTTTACAGAAGCTTCAGAAGAGTGCAGCTTGAGAGGTGAATTCTCTGCAGAATCTGCTGGGAGCAGGAATCCACCCCTGGCAGGTAGAATTGCCAGGGTTTGACTCTGTCAGTGGGAAGTGTTCTTTCTGCCTAGCAGGGGCAGGTTATGTGATGGGGAATGCCTTTGATTGTGAGCACCTGCTGTTCAGGCTGGGGCTGTCATCAGCCATGCTGGGAGCAGAGGAAGGTGATATTTCCCTTTACACTCTGCTGCCACTGTGTGCTTGGGAAGGTTCTGTGGACTCAGTGGGAGGCTGACTGGTAAAGCTACATGGCAGAAAGATGAAGTGGTGGGTTTAAAGTATATAAAATCAGATTAAAGAGATCCTCTCAACATAAAATAATTTGAGTTTGGGAGTGTGATAGGATAAGCATGTGCTCTCTTTCTTACTTTTTTTTAGGCATCTACCTATGTAAAAAGGTCACTGTGCTGGATGGATTGTTGGCTGGAAAGACTGCAGCTATTCTTGTAGCTGGAAACCCAACTGAAGGAATTGTTTTGTGATTCCCTGCAGTGGTTTCTCATTACTTACAAGCTATACTAGAACTGTGTGCTAATAGCTGGGGGCAAAGCAGAGCTCCTTGCTGATGTTCTCAAAACTCTCTTGCTGAGTGAAGGTAGTGAGAAGTGGAAGAAGAAAGCTGCCAGAATTCAGGGAATTGGGAAGCTCAGACTTTGCTGTTGTGGGCTAAATGCCAACCATACATGAAGAGGGAATGGGAAATCTCCACATGTCTTGCTGGTAACAGTTTCATTCTCTTCATGCTCTCTGTAGGGTGAAATAAGAGTACAGCATAAATCAGAATTGTTAAGGTTGGAAAAGACCTCTGAGATTGAGTCCAGCTGTTAACCTAACACTGCTGTGTTCACCACTATCCTGTGTCCCCAGCTGCCATAATCACACATTTTTTGAACACTTCCAGGGACTGTGGTGATTTCACCACTTTCCTGGACAGCCTGTTCCAGTTTCTTGAACTGGGCAGACAGTTCTGGTTCCTGTCTGATCACCCTCTCAGTGAAGTTCACATGATATGTGTTGTTCAGTGGAGTGTAGGATCGTACAGTCATAGGCTAGAAATTAAATATAAAATGTATAAGGCTGCAGAGCACTTGATCACCTCTGAATTCTTGAGTAGTTGATGCAACAATGCCTTTCTGTGCTCCTTTATATTCTTGGATAGATCCCTTCAATCACCTCTGCAGGCTCTTTTGTGCTGAAGGCAATAGGTGAAGTGCCACCAGGCTGTATATCACAAATCACTGTTCAAACTAACATCAATCGTATTTCCTTACATTCTTAAACAGGTCTGACTATCTTATTTGTATTTTTAAATTGTTGATCAAATCTGTGTACAAACCAACAGTCAAGTTTTCCTTGGAGGGATCTCATACATCAAGCTCTGTCAGATTATTGTTAATATTGTTCTTTGAGTAGGAAGTGGGGACTATATTTTATCTGTTCAGATATTATTGATGAGAAGGTCATTAGAGAAGTCTTTGGCATGAAAAATGGTTTTGGGTTTTAAGTGCAGGCTGCTGCCTAAAAGGAGACATCTTTATCTTGCCAGTGCTTTTGGCTTGACATGTCCTTTTGTGCTCACAGCAGAATTTTTAAAGTCTCAAAGTAAGTTGTTACAGGCAAGGGGAATTTTTTTTATATACTGGAATATCCTTCAGACTTGAGTCCATTTCCACATGCTACGCCTTTGAAGTGTCAAGACTTATTGAGTTTTAACATATAGGATTGGAAAAGAATGTCTGAGCTAATGAGAAGTGGATTTTTTTTCTTTTTATTTTTGCACCTGTTTAGGTATAATAGAGAAGTAAATGGACTGCTTTCCATATCAGTTAGTCTGTGTATTTGATGCTTGTGTGAGGCCCTCCAGATTAATTAGCAGGTTTAGTAAATGATACAGGAAAGACTAATCACATTCTGCATGTGTTAGCTTCAGAGTGCCAAGTCTTTGCTTTCATCCTCTTGAGTCTGTAATGCCTGAAGTGCTTCAAATCCTGATGGCCTTGCTTATAAGATGTGCAATTTATCTGTTAAAATGAGGGCTGTTGCACAGATTCTGTATCACCTGCACTGACTGACTGCTTTGTGCTCACTGTAATGTGATATGCTGAGTAAATAACCTCTTTGGTTATTAACACCTTCTCCCTCTATGATTCATTTCATTCTGAAAGTCCTCTGTAGTTTTCAACAATGTCTGGGATTTTTTTCTGATGAAATCTGTTTTTTTCCTGATTAGCAAGACCACAAAAACCTCAGTGGAGAAGCCCTTTGTCTGAAGATCTGTGCAACTTTTCTCCTTTCTGTCTTTAGCTTGTGCATCAACATTTACATCTCAAAATGTTGGTTTAGCCAATACAGCCCTTAAAAATTGCATTTTAGTCAGAAGAATTCTCTACTCCATATAAACTTAATTAAACATCTGGGTTGGGGTTTTTTTTTCCTCCACTTGTGGAAAGATCATTTAATTAAAAATTAATGGTGCTAATTGACAAATGTGATGATTCCTTTAAACTGTTAAATATACTGCTATTAAAATCAGTAATTTCTCAGTACAAGTTAATGGCTAGTTTATTAGAACTACTAATTGCCTAGTTTTTCAGCAGATGGGATTAATCTAATTATGGTCATAAGGACTGGATTGTTTAAAAATAAATTGCAGGTATTATGCAAAATGAGTTTTTTTGTTTTCAGTAGGCCACACAGTGGGAGACAGTTGAGAGAACAAGTAAAAACTAAGGAATGTTTTCCCGTTGCCTCTTGGAAATTCAGGTTTGAAAGTTAAAGTGCTAAACTGCCTGTGTCTTTTCTGACTTAGCTGTGATGTTCCCTAAGCCATATCAAGAGTAGAATTAATTGTGGGTGATTGTGTCTCTCTTCAGCACCTAATTAGAAGATCCTAATTAAAAGCTGTTTTGTGAAGCCTGCTTTCCATTGGATTTGTGTTCCATGTTCCCTGAGCCCTTCTACTGCATTAGAAATCACCTAAGACTCTCAGGTCTCGTTAGAAGAGTTTGTAACTGCTGTCAGACTGATTTTGCTGAGTGTCCATCACCAGCTTCACACAAAAGGAGACAATAGGAGTACATTGAGGTTTTTTTTTTTAAGGATAACTTTCTTTGCTTGTGTGCCTATTTTCACCTTTTAGTATGCTTTACATGCTTGCATTTGATATCTTAGCAGGTTTTCTGAAGCAGTCTGGAGCTTTTCACATTTGCTTAAGCTCCATTAGCACTGGTATTGAAGGCTGTTTCCATATCTCCTGGTGAAAGTTTGGCAGAGTCTCAGGTGATGTGTGGATCTGAAAGGCTGGGTGTTAAAAGCCATTGCACACTGGAAGAGCTCTAATTTTGAGGAAACAAATGATGCCACCTGTTACCCAATCTGGAAAGCTGCTGCTTGTGATTGGCTATGTCAGGCCCTAAGTTGCAGGGAGCCCCCCTTTGGAAGCAAGTTTGAATTTGAAAACTGGAACCAGAAAAGTCACACCAAATTCTGCAAGGGGCACGGGAGGGAATCTGTGGTAGATGATGAGATTGTAATTTCAGATGTCCACTCTGGCTTTGTTAAATCAGCTCTGTTCCCAGAAAACTCTGTTGGAATTACCTCGCTATAATGATTTGCATATTGGTTGGATTTAGTCTACAAGCATATAGACTGAATCAAATTTGGGCCAAATTCTGAGATTTGCTGGACATCATCTGGATCATTCTGTGATCAGTAAGAGTGCAATCTGGTATTCTAATAACTGTGGATTTTTTAATTATGTAAAAATAGGTGAGAACCATACTGGTAAAATTAATTTCTCTAGTACCTCTCCTTTTAATGTTTTTCCTAGTTTTTCATGTACAGAGAGATTTTCCAATTGACCATTGTTCTTTTCACCATCTTCTCCTATGTGATCTTTATTTCCCTCTGGTTTCTAAAACCTGTAAATTTCATTTAATTTGTTCTACTGTGCTAAAATTAAGCACTGAAATAATTCAATTTGAGTAATAACAGGATACATCTGCACCCCTTGTAAATTGGCTCAGGTTATCCTGAGTATCTCTTTATATTCAAGTTTACACTTAAGCTCCGTGAAATACAGAGCTGATTTTCCCCTATTGATTGTCAGAAAGTCCAACCCCACTGTGGCACCCTGTGCAGAATGCAAACATGTTTTTTTTCAGTAGCTCAGACTTTCAGTTAACTGCACACTTAGGCTAATGTTTTTAGAGTAATAGGATGTCTTTTCCAACAAAGTACTTAATATCATGTAAAATTTTTAAAAAAAATTTTAAAGTATCCTTTAACCCTAGATTTATGTGGAGGTACTTTTATGCATGTCTGCAGCATTTTGTGTCTGTGCAAGCACATGAAGTG